CTCAGGAAATGACACTAAACAGCATATCTACAATTAAATCACTCAGACTAGGGAAAGCATTGTAAAGTACCAGAGGCCAAGATTCATGTTTGGTTTATTTGGCATTTCTGGCTCAACTTCTGTACTGAAGGGTCTATGAAAGTAGTAGGCTAAGGCCTAGTACTTGAAGGTATTTATATACTGTAAGCCTGTTAAGGTTTCCACGATGTCAGCAACTGTCTACAAACCTTTAATACCTTGGCCTAAAAGATTTACTCCGTGCTGAAAAGGAAGTTTACATCAGAACACTGTTACCTAAGGTAACAAATAATTTTGCCAAAAAGAAACCCTTCTTGCTCTTGTAACCCTCAGACATACTTTTAAAGTATGGAAGGTTTTTGTCTAACTTTTTTCTTTATGTTTATATATTTTATGATAAATAAGATTAAAACAGAAAAAAAAGAGAAGTTAAAGGCCTTCAATGTGAATATAAAATAAGCATTACCTACCATCATCGATTGCCTCCAGTAAAACTGCTTAACACAGTACAAACTGATGAGAGCAGTTAATATCTACTGCCTTTGCTTAAAATGATCTCAGATCTTAAGAACTCTGATGTTAATAAACATAGTAGCAAAACTGACAGGACTATGAACTGATGCTGTTCCTTTCGGCAGAAAAGAGAGTGAGATCCTGGAGAATAACCAAAAGGTCAAAAGAATATTGCTTTTCTGGTTAGATGGGGAAAAAAAAAGACTCATATACATTAAGACATCTACAAAGAAGAAAAGAAAGAAAAAAAAAAAACGGAGAGAATATCTAGATTAGTTTAGCTATTGTCTGAGGAAATGAGGCCATCATGTGGCAAATTAAAGATATGACCGCAGAGAGAAAAACAACTGATTAATTGTTTTGGTGATACCAAGAACATAAACACTCACTATCATGAACACAAAGGAAACTGGTGTGAAAGTTTGGACACAGAGATTCCTCTTACCTTTTGATTTTTCATATGAGGAATTTTGGAGAAGTTTTAGAGGATCTTTTGCAATTCTTCATCAAGGAAAGATTCTTAGATGCAAAACTCATATTTTTTTCTAACTATTTTAAGGATCATAGATAATAACAAAAGAATAAGACTTACAACCGTGTCTTCAAAGGAATGATTTCAAATGCCTTCAAACAGGAACCAAGTGAGTAATAATTTGTAATGATTTATTGAACTCTTCAGGAAACTGCAGGATATGAAATTATATACATCTGCAAAACTAGATTGTTGTATGCTTTATCAAACCTACCTATGGCAAGCTAAACCTTGGAAAATTAGTGTCCTGAGCTGTAATTCTCAAATTAGCATGTATGAAAAGTAATGTCTTAGTTGTTTCTGATGTAGCAGATGTGTTAGTAACTGTCATCTTTAATTACTCATTCTCTTTACACTGAAGAGTAAACAGGGACATGGAGATAAGTCTTCTGTAGAGCTACCTACAGAAATTTCTTGAGAAAGTTTATTTGGATTAGGAGCTTCTATACTTAAAATCATAGCTCTAGTTCCATTTTTTTTTTCTGTCAGCTCTTCCACTTATGTGCACAGATTTTGTTGATTTGTTTGTTTTTGAACAACATTGTTGTGACTTACAGTTTTAGGGAATATAGTTTTAAGGACTATGCATGTCCGTGAATGACTGAAGAGTTTGAACAAAAACCCCACATTGATCAATCAACCTCACTCAAAAGTTAAGAAGTGTGATATCTATACAAATGAAAGTTAGAAAAAGCTAATACTGGAGAAAGCCAAGAATGCCTAAGAAGGAAAAAGCATAAAACTGTTGTTCATCAAATTAGTCTGTGGGGACCGCAGAAGTAAATAGAGGACAATGAAGACGTTTTAGATCTCAAATCTGCAGTAGCTTGTTATTTCTCAGTTCTGTACTGCCTCTTTTTCTTTTTTTTAATGCACATTGCTGTACATAAAGCTGACTTAATTAAACCCATTTGTAAACTTCTGTACAAGAATGACAAGTTGGAGAGTCCTAGGCCCTTGTAGTACTCATAGGTAGTGTACCCTGTTTCCCCAATCCTGCAAGTTGTCTTCCTCTTTTCTTTCAATGGCCAAGGCTACAAGGTAGACTGGATTTTGTAGGAGACAAGAGAAAGTGTTGCAACCATACACATAGCAATACATCTTGAGGAAAAGCAGTTACAGACGGAAAATATATCTTCTACAAATGCTTGTCTCCATGTCTGTTCATATTGTGAATGTTTACAAGAAATACCCACTGGCAAATGTTTGGAAGTCTTCAGTAACACTGTTTCTTCCAGGCAGAGATACCTCTAGGAAGGCAGTTTCCGAAGACAGATATAGCAGCAAGAAGGTGACAACAACTTCAAGGTTGTTGTAAGGAAGGAGAGTTAACTCCCTTAATGCTAGATTGACTGGGGTCAACAACAGGGTGGAAGGCTATTGAAAAGCTCCTGACATGTGGAAGATCTTTGAGGGCATGTCTAAAGAAGAGATAATCCAAAAATTATTTACAGTCTAATTTTGAAGCTGAGATTGTACATAGCTTTTGCCATTGATAAGAGAAAATCCTAGAGATTAATTGTCCTCCTGCTCTACTACAAGAAATAACAGAAGGGCTTAGCCATAAAGTTTTGATTGCATAAGTAATGGCAAATTGCTCTTATAGGGTTAAGTATGCTGTAGAATGCTGGGAAGTTAGACCATGATATCCAATATCCTGATAAGAATCTGTAGTAGGAAAAGCCTAGACTCAAGAAAGTTTTTTCTTCTAAAACTCAAAGTAGTTCGATGATGTGTTGTTTCATCATTCTGTTGAACTTCAATGCTTCTTGAAGAACTTTCTCTTTCCAACAATCAATGGCACATGCTTGGAAAGGGCTCAAGAAAAAGATCCATTATCCTTGGTCCTTGCTTTCATTACAGCCCCTTTCAACCAAAAGTGAGATGTTCAGTAATTCTTACGCAGTCTCAGGTAAATCTTGATGAAAGGGAAATATTTTTTAAATGAGGAAGAGGAGGATAGAGAACAAATAGGCTGCATTCTGAAAAACTCTGATATTCTGATATTAATTTCTGAGGTAGATCTTAAACTATAGGGTGAAAATGTTGGAAAATGATTCTTGAATGTCAGTATTCAGACCTTTATAGGATCACAGAATCACAGAATTGTTGAGGTTGGAAGGACCCTCTAGAGATCATCTAGTCCAACCTCCTGCTCCAGCAGGGTCACCTAGAACACGGGCACAGGGCGGCAGCCGGGCGGGTTTTGAAGATCTCCAGAGAAGGAGACTCCACAACCTCTCTGGGCAGCCTGTTCCAGGGCTCTGTCCCCCTCACAGTAAAGAAGTTCTTCCTCATATGAAAATCCCTGTATTTCAATTTGTACTCATTACCCTTTGTCCTGTCACTGGCTACCACCGAGAAGAGTTTGGTCTCATCCTCTTTACATTCTCTCCTAAGGTATTTATACGTATTGATCAGACCCCCTCTCAATCTTCTCCAGGCTAAACAGGCCCAGCTCGCTTAGTCTTTCCTCATACAATAGCTGCTCCTGTCCCTTCATCATCTTTGTCACTCTACACTGGACCCTCTCTAGAAGTTCCGTCTTCCTCTTGTACTGGAGAGCCCCGAACTGCACGCAATGTTCCAGGTGGTGCCTGGTATACAGTGCTTGTCTGATTTTCAGGGATTGCTACCAGATAGTCTGGTAAATCAAGCACCTTTGAAACCAATTCACCTTGGGGAAACAATCCCAATCATCAGAAATTCTATATGTAAAAATTTAAAAACAGATTAAAAAATAAAATCCAGTAAGCTGCAAAATCAACCTAAATATTTTCTCAGTTGTTAATGTTACAATGTAATAATGTTACAGCAATATCTATTCCCATACTACAGTTGCACATATAAATTGTTCATGACCAAGTCTCTTAGTGTGAACCATAATAAAAACAAGAGCCCTGTGTGTTAGATAACATATAGATAGTAAACAAGTTCAATACTACATTGGTTTTCCAATATAAGTCAGGAACAAAAGAAAACAGGTAAGATTCAAGAGAAATGCAAACAGAATGTGTTGATCGGCACTCAGGAGAGTGTTGCAAGACCAGAGATCAGCATGACTATCAGCACCTGACTTTGTGTGGGTGTGCGCACATGCATGTACCTGAATATAAAAATATATATCTATTTTCCCCTGCACGTGGACCGATACATAAAATGCATATATTCCAGGAATCAGAAATTGCTGTGACAGAAGTGTGGAGAACTGATAAATCAGGCAAGTTTTAAACTTTAAAATAAGACTTTACTAGATTGATGGTCATCAACAGTACATATTGTTAATGGTTAGTTCTTAATCATTATTAATCACTATTACTACATATTCAAGGCAGTTAGTACTTAACAATTATATCCTAAATTAGCAATGAATAATACAGGACCACAGAGCTGATGCCATGCAGTTAGCAGTAGTGGTTACAGTCCTTAATGAGTCCCAGTCTTTTAGGTTCTTCAAGATGATCAGGATCAAGAGCACTTCAGTGAGGGAAGCTGGAACTTAGAAAGGAGTCCATCTGTCCAGTTCGTCCATCCCTCAGTTTAAGATCTCCTCCTTTCATAAAACACTTCACTCTTTAGTGAGTATTGGCCCTTGGCCTCATGCCCCATATATAAGGCATATAAATAATTTCCAATATGTATGTTTACATATTGTTACCTAGATATGCCATACTAGTCTGCTTTTGCTAGCATTTCAGGCAGGCTACTGTTAAATTCTGCTTAGCGTGTTTCTACTATTATGGGTGCAACAGACCCCTGCTTTGGCTACCAAATAAGGTGGTTTGAATAATGAACTAGCTGTGAGGCACTGGTACGTATTTACTTAGTAATCCCTGTTTTCACAGGACTTATAAAAGACCTTTGGTTTTGGAGGAAAAACAAAAGTATCAAAACTGACTACAAATACTATGCAGCATTGAAATAATTACAGTGACACTTCAGAGGTAAGCACTGCCTTTAATTTACATGTTGCATGACCCAGACTGAACATTGACCAAAGAATAGTAGATGCCTTTCGCAGCTAGGAGTTGTTGATGAGTCCCTTGTTCTACAATCTTGCCGTTCTGGACCACGGCGATCTTGTCGGCGTTCTGGATGGTGGACAGGCGGTGAGCGATCACGATGCAGGTGCGACCTTCCCGGGCCTTATCCAGGGCCTCCTGGACAACCTGTTCAATGAAGAAACCAAGAGGTGAGTAAAAAGTATAATGCCCTGGAATTATTTCTGGCAGTTCGTAGTGCCAAATACTTCAACTTCCATCTTCTATGTAAATTGTAATATATCAATGAGAAAAGGGGAATATCTCTGGATTTGGCTTCCAGTTTTAGATATAGCCTGTGTTGGCAAGGTGCAAAAACTGTTAGGGCAGATAATGCCATGAAAGCTAAGAGGAGAAAGAGATGGGGCCAGACTCTTAACTGAGATGCATGGTGGGAGAACAGCAGAAAGTGACCGTAAATTGAAACAGTGGAGGTTCTGACTGAGTGTAAGAAAAAAAAATCAATAAAAGGATAATTAAACAGAAATTAGAACACAAACCAACAGAGATTATGGAATTTCCTTGGAGGTTTTCAAGGACTTGACTGGACAAAATTCTAAGCAATCTGGTCCAAATCTAGTGTTAACCCTCATTTGAGCAAGATGTTTGATTAAAGAGCTTTGTATATCCCCTCTGGGACTAGTTAATCGCATATCAGAGTTTAGTCAACTGTTTTTATTTACCTACTAGCATACAAGCTCTATGGATTTCATAGCAAGTCTCATGAATGATGTCTTTCTTAAAGCTATCTTAGGCAGGAAATTATTAATGAGAACCTCAGGTTTCTTTTTTTTCCTTGTGTTTGTTAATACAGAATAAAATAAGATATGAAATACTTGTACCTAAATGGCATAAAATAAACAAACATGGTTTTAGATCCCAGACTCTTGACTCGCAAGCAAGTTACCTTTTCACTTTCTGTATCCAAGGCAGACGTAGCTTCATCAAGCAGCAGAATTTGGGGTTGACGTACAAGAGCTCGAGCAATAGCAATACGTTGTTTCTGACCACCAGAAAGCTGGGTTCCCTTGTCTCCTACACCAGTATTATATTTCTAGAAAAAAAATATATTAAGTTCAGAAGATGAATGCAAATACATCAGCCCTGGTGTGGATTTAAACACATTGATTCTACCATTAGTGATCCATAAACCAAATATTCCATGCAAATAGGTCTGTGAAAACAGATGTCCAGAACTCCTAGCGGTCACAAACCTATAAACCTTTCTAAGAGACTTTATTACTTCGTACTAAGGGACTCTCTTTCTAAGACCCGGCATTTCATAACTTTCAACGCCCTTCCCCAGCAACAACTCCTGTAAGGTTGGAAAGCAATGCTACTGTCAAGCAGGAGTTGGGACACTCGGGCATAGTAAAAGTCAATGACAACTCTGGGAATCGAACTCTGATGTTAAATTTTACAAACTAGCCCCCTAATTAATTATTGTAACCCACATTTGTTCCTCATGAAGAAAAAGTGGAAATGTATAAGATGCACACACATACACAATAAATGGTGCTAAATATTATATACATGAATGTGCATGCATATGTATGTATATAATTAGAGCTTGCACCAATCAAGTTTTAATTCAGATACCTCAGTTAAGTGAGATTTGTTTGGCTTCTGGACAAACTCATGTGTAGGTCACAGTAGTCTGTGGCTTACTAGGTATTTTGTTGCAGAAAGCATGCAAGTTTTATGAGACATGATTATGTATCATAATATTTCTTTACACAGCAAATCTTCTGATAACAGCCATTAATCAGATCTAAAAATGAGATCTAAATGAGATGTGCAAAAAACCTTGGGCCTTCACCTCTGTATTTGTCAGGAAGCACAAAAAAAGCAGCTGGAGAGCGTAAAGTTACGCTGCACATAATCAACATGCAATCAAGCTGGCAAACTCCTTCCTTCAGTTGGTTGTGGTATCACAAACTGACATGCATTAAAAAATGATTTGTCAAACTCACAGAAGAAAAGTCAGTCCAAAACTGTTACACAATAAAAAGTGATTCATTTCCTTAGGAAGTTCCTGAGACACAAATTATGCAGTTAGAAGATAATTTAGGGGAAAAGTTGTTAATCTTTAAACTTTGTGTATACTTTTCTGTAAATATATTCTGTTGGTCACTACCTGGGAAAAGACTCTGGGCAAAGCAACTCTTTGCTCTGACTCAGGAATTTCATTCTTACATTATGGAGTTTTGTTCAGACACATATGAAAGACTTGGGCATTTCTGAATCAGAGAAATACTAAAAATTTGAATTCTTACTCAGTAGATCCTGAATAAATGACTATGATCAATCTGATTTGCAATAAAAAACTTTGTTGATCTAGCTGAACACTCAACATCTTCTACCTATGTTTGAGATAAATAGGAGCTGACAAAAAAGAAAATTCTAACTCTCCTAAAAGAGTAAAACCAAAACACACACACTTCCAAAACTCAGTCACTATATAAGGTCTTTTATCATAAATGTTTTGCTCTCCACACGCCAATGGAATCTACCAGAATAAAAACAAAGCATAGTAGACACAATAAAAAGAAAGACTTAAAAATCTAACTTTTTCAGGTCTAATTGCGTCTGAGGGATGCAAACGGCACAATTTTCCCCTGTCAAAATAGGCGACCCACAGTTTTGAGGAAGAAAGAAAAGATATAACTTACATCTGGTAGAGATTCAATGAAGGAATGAATATTGGCCTTTTTTGCTGCACTAACAATTTCCTCATGTGGCACTTCCCGATTATTATCTCCATAAGCAATGTTCTCAGCAATAGAGCAGTCAAACAGGACTGGTTCTTGTGAGACGATACCGATCTGAGATCTCAGCCACTGGATATTTAGTATCTTTGCATTTTTGTCATCAAAGAGCTGAGAAACCAAACATTTTAAATTTCAGTCATATCTGTCTTTGAGACTTACTACAAATTCACACCAAAAGGTACATAATTACAATTCAAAGTGGTATCTGCTGAAAAAAAAATCAAATAATCCCTTCCCCTCTTTCTCGTCAAATTTCCAAAATATTCTAAAGATTATGCTATATTATGTAAGGATATGCAAGGAACTTCTTTAGTTCTTTTCTTTGCTTCAAGATTTCATAAAGATTTTGAAGATAGTGAAAGACTGGATACGGCAGAAGCTATTTCAAAGAACTTTACCCTTTTTTTCCATAAAAGAAGGAATTTAAAAAGCTTAATATTTAAATATTTTATCTATTTAAATATTTTTACATATATATTCCCACTGAAAGACAGATTGGCATTAGCATTCCATTAAAATAAAAGAAGATTTCGGTTCATTCATTCATGCACTTCTAAACCAAGCACCAATTCAAATCCATGTGAATAAAAAGAAATCAATACTTTTTTTTATTGTTTCACTTTACCATATTTACATAAGAATCTCTGAAAACCAGGGCTTCTTAGAAAGAAATATTTTTGGCCGCCCTATTCCCAAATAAAAATATCTATCCTAGTTCATCACACCAAATAAAACCAACACATTCTTATGTAACATGCAGATGCATCCTTACAAAAAAAAAATGCTTACCATTTCTCCATCAAGGGGATCATAAAATCTCTCAATCAACTGAACAACAGTGCTCTTTCCACAGCCACTGCTACCGACAAGAGCCAGAGTTTGTCCTTTTTCTACTTTTAGATTCAAACCTTGGAGAACTTTGACATCAGGTCGGTTTGGGTAGTTAAACTTCACATCTTTGATCACTATGTTTCCCTCAAATCTTTCCTGTAATTGGAATAGTATTATTTAAACTGTTTTTATAACAATTAGACAGATAACAAATGATTCAAAAAAGGAGGCTTCCGCAATTCTGTATCTATTTAAATCAATGGAGTTTTGCATTTGCTTGATTTTGTCTTTAGCTCATGATGGAATATTTGGTTCTTTATAGTTTGGATAGTGCCAAGAAAACATGGAGGTAAGCAACTAACATGAGAGAGGGGGAAAACCAGCAGTCTAAAGTAACAAATATTTTGTCCATGCTATCAACAGATAAAATGCTAGTGTAGCAGTGTGTACTTACAGGCTTCAGTCCTTCCTTGCTGTAACTATCTATTGAGGGCACTGTTTCAAACAGCATGAACATATGGGCTGCAGATATCTTGGCTTTGGCATAGTCCGGAGCAAAAGAGCTGGTTTGTCCTAAAGCCATTGCACCAAATACAACAGCTGAAAACACTCTATAAAAAGACACACACACACACAAAAATCAGTAAATAGACAATGAGAAAAAGACAATGGAATCAGGGCTGCATTCAACTTTTTATTTTATTTGGACAAAATGGAGGGCTAGATTCAGTAATAGTAAAGTATAGCCACATGTTATTTCTTTAATTATTTATTTCCTTCCTTATAATATATAATTATTATATCTGCTTTTAATGAAGTGAGATAAATAAGATTCCACTCAAAAATCAATATTTTCATTACTTATTGACACTAATATATTTTATTATTAAGTCCCATTAACTGCAACAAATCTCAAAAGGAGCTAGGAAGATACTGGTGGATGGCCTGTGTGTTTGTGATCCATTGCTTTAAAGTTATTAGTGAAGATAAAAACAAAAACTCACCCTGTAGCAAGGTGACAATAAAGGTTTAATTAGCTTTCAATCACTACTGAAAAAACAGTCAACTGTCAATTTTGCAACACCAAAGGAAAAAAAAAAAAAGTACCCTAGTTGAAAATGATACTACTAACTGTTTTATGGTGAATGTGGATGTGGCTTTAGGGTCCGCATTAGAATGGCTTAAGAACCTGCTGTCTTCAGCTATTAATTACTGCCACAAAGCACAGGATTAGTCATCACTGAAGCTGGTAATCTAGTAGTTGACTAATTGATCATATGAGACTTCTCAGGCTGCTTTGAGGCAAAAATGAGTTTAATTTACATGAGCTTCAGAGCTATATAAGATAATCTGTTTTATTCTCCATATGAACAGCCAGGAAGGGCCCACCCTGGTTTAGTGCAGACCATCCCTTTCCAATATAGCAGAGACCCTGGAAATTCCCCTGCTTTCTCTCCTCTAGCAACAAAACATCCTCTTTGTTTAGCATTTTATATATTGTTCTTGCATTTATGGTTTATTCATTCATTTCCTGCACAAAATTGGTTTAACACTATCACCTAGAAAAATCTAGTTATTTTTCCTTTATGGTGCATAGCAGCAACCAAAAAACATTACTCTGCAATTATTTAGTGTGTATATCAGAGCAGATTTCAAATTTTGATGGATTAAACTGCCACAGAAGTAAGAAAGACATGGATAACCTTTTCTTAAAAGATGTTTTACAATATTATTAGGCTTCGATACACAAGTACAACTATCTTTTCTTTTAGAAAATACAGAGGATCTCTTCAAGCTACATGAACCATAAGGCGAGAATAAACAAAGTGACATAGTAGAATACTGGTTCATCCTCTGGAAAAATAATAATGCAGAATACATATACTAAAATCAGGGCTACCTGAAGATTTCAGAATCTGTGATCACCTATAATATTTACTTAACAGGTTTGCTATAATATATTTCTATAACGTTAAAGCCCAGAGGAAGAATTTGCCTCATTTCTCATAGCTACCCAATGGGTTTGTGATATTGTTAGCAATGAAGACCTCCCTTTGGATTGAAAGAGAAGAGATTGCAGAAGAGATACTTACAAAAATACATTTTTAGACTCCATGTGTCCATTTGCCACTAGATAGGCACCAAAGCGGAAACAGGCAGCATAGGTAAAGAACATCATTGCTTGTGAAAGGGCAAAACAAAACCCAAATACATGTGCCTTTTTTATGGAATTTCTGTAAGGAAGAATGTATGTTTTCATGATGAGCAATCATATTTAAGCCTATTGTGTAAAAAGCAATTAATTCACTTCAGATGCTGCTGTGATAAATGGGAAGTACTTCTCTTAAGTAACATAAATTACACAATCCTACCCAATTGTATCTAAGAGAAAAAGGGGGGTTTTATTTGTTTCCAGAATTCTGGCTACTTCAAAGAATAGACTGGAATATAGAGAGAGAAAAACATGTCCCCTTAACTGCTATGTCTAACTATTGTCTTACCACCTCACTGTTTGACTGTTATAATACTTTACAGTTGAGTCCATGATTACAATTTTCAAGATTTAAATTATATCATCAAAAGTGCATTACTACATCAGGAGAGGTTTCTTCATGTTAGCAGAACTGCTTTCAATCATAGACAGTATTTTTTTTATTGGTCAGTTTTTCTTTACTTGTGTTTTTAGGCTAACCAAATAAGATGTTCAGCAGTTCAATATTAGGCAGTTGGGCATATGTTTCTTTCAAAGTTCATGCACCAAAATTCTTCTCAAAGACTTAGCCTGCGTGTACAGTGCATAAAAGGGGTTCTGGATGATAAAACCACGTATATAACTAAAAGCAGGGCAGAGAGAAAATTTTCTGATAATATGAATTTTAAAAGAAAAAAAAAGATTTTAATTATACTGATACAGATTTTGATTATATTGATATTATTCTTAAGTTGCCCTTGCACAGTTCCTTTGGGGAAAAAAAAATAGGATCGAGTTTCACAAATATGCATTTTGATAAAGAGGCTGCTGGCCCTTCTCTTTTACATAGCCAATTTGTGCATTAATCCCGGATAGCAGAAGACCTGTGTTTAATTTTTATAAAATAGAAATGCTTTGCCTAATCAGTGATTAAAAATGCACTGAGATATTAAGGCAAAAATACATGTCCTCTCTCCCACAGGGCAAGTTGTCCTATAGGAAAAATAAATGTTTCTCCCAGAACAACATTAAGATGAAATTCCAAGTGCAATTCCTCCAGTGACAACCCTGAAAATGGCTAGGTACTTTCCTGAAAGTTGTGAGGAATGCACTCAAATCTGAGTAAGCTGAAAAAAGAAATTAAAGATCTCTTATATCCTGAAGGATGCTCTAATTGCTTAATTATGGCAGTGGATGTATTGGCAACACCCCTTCTTCTTTGTCTCCCATCATATCTGTGTAGTTATGCTGTCATTCCCTTTTCTAATGGAAGTCTGAAAATTTATTATTTCATTCTGAAAAAAATTCAAGTTTGACAATAACGTATTTGTTTTCATTTTAAGATTTTTTTTTTGAATTTGATTTAATCTAAGCAGGGTTTTTTTGCAACAAGAAACTAGTAAGTAATTATTTGAAAGTTTCAGTCCCACTCACACTTTCAAAAATGGGTTAATGAAATATTTAATTTACATGAAACAGTTTTTAATTAAACCTAAATATCTGAAACATTTTAGCTGGGATTAGTATATAATCTACTAGATTAGATAGCTCTCTTTGGTAAAAATGAAGATTTTTTGAAAGCAAGTGATATGTTAATAGAAAATATTAACACTACCACAGAAAATTAATTAAAACAAAGAACAAAACCTACAGTGTTTCCTGGTGAGTTCCTTGGTTAATAAAAAGATATGCAAAATTTTAATGAGTCTTACTTCATAATTAATGCAAGCAATACACATGAATAAAAAACAAATGTATACCATTCCAAGTAAAAGTATGTAATTTATTCTAAAATGAAAACAGAGATTTTATTTCTTCAGTTATTTTATCATACCTGTATGGTACCTGCAGATGTTCTCCATACATGACCTCAAATTTTCTTTCTCGGGTCAAACTTGCAACAGTTCGAATATTTTCTATGGCTTCCGTGGCAATCTGTAATTGAAACACAAACACGCTAATCAAAATGATAATAAAGAAATGTATAGGAAAAATATAATTAGTAGAAAGGAAAGGAAATGTATCTTTCGGAGTATCTGAAAAAGCCCATGGAAATATGATTATGCAAAACTTCCAGTTGTCTTGGAGGGAAAAAATATTTGTGAGCAACTCTGCCCACAGACACAGAATCATAGAATCATTATAGTTGGAAAAGACCTTCAAGATCATTAAGTCCAACTGTAAACCCTTCAACACCATGACTATTAAACCATAAATTCTTTCATCAGAAATCAAACTTAACATGAAGGAATTAAAATAGAAACAATTTAAAAATCAGGAGTTAGTAAGGGCATTTAGGTCCAGATTAAGACACACAAATTTAGGTATTTATGCTGCCATAACATCAGTGGAGATCTATTCAACAGAACCTAGAAAGCAGTTCAGCTTTCCTGCCATGATATGCCTATTTAATGTTTCGTTCACCAGGATTTATTGACTAGAATGGTGAGAGGTGTAATTCAGTTGCCCACATGTAGTTCTGCCCTCTAAGATACAGATACTCAAAATACTACGGTAACACATGGCAGATGTGACACAGAACACAGAGTAGACCCACGGGCTCCCGAAAGAGCACATGGAGGCCACGCAGAATATATCGTAACATCTCCGACAACTATAAAGGAGCATTAGACAACAAGTGCATATGCAAACAGATACATTGAAACACTAAATTTTGGTGTCTTAATTTGAAGATTAATCCTATGGTTTATGTGCATGACCTTCTCAACAGCTTTTAACAGTAGGACATGGGAAGGGAGTTTGAAAAGTTTTACCTCTAAAAAGGTAATACTTGGGAAGTGATGAAACAGTTGTTCTGTCACAAAAGGATTTTGGAATGAAGCAACATAAATGCTTTCCTCTAACTTCTCCTTTAAACAAGAGCCTAGCCTTCTTGCTTTTCAGTTCTCATCTTTCTTTTCCACTCAACAGATAAGAAATGGCAAAGAGATTCAGAAACCAGTGGATATATCCCTGCAAACATTGGTAAGATGAAAGAAAAAAAAAAGAAAAAAGAGCATTGCAATATATATAAGATAGATGACATGCTAAAAGAATGCCAAAAAAGCAACAAGATAATGAAGAGGGCTGCAAAATAAGCAAAATAGAGTCAATCAGAACAGGAAGCAGAAAGATGTGCTGAGAATTGTTCAAGAACATTTCTGGGACTTATAAATTCTGAAAATAAATATCAGTTATTAATACACATTTTCAAATATTAATGTAGAACTGTTGTGTTCTGCTGTCCTAGTAATGTAAACACATAGAGTCTATCTTTGAAAGTAAGATAGCATTAAATATACTTGGAAGTAACGTGTCTATGACCACATATGTTACACAAATAGATGAACTTCTCTAGACTCACCTTTCCTGCAATTTCCAGCTCTTTCTTAT